TCACACTGACGGCACATGCCTTTACCCACTGGTCCATCGCACCAGCCCAAGGCTAGGCTGGCTCCTAAATAAGAGCAGGATAGTTATTCCATAGGGTGCCCTGTGGGTTTGGTACAGTCTTGGTATGCTGTTCATCAGTCACGTGAGGGCCGGTAACACAAAGCCGCTAACTGACCCTGACTTCTCTCACAGCCAGAAGATGCCGGAGATGCCTGCAGACGCTGTGGGTGCCCTTCTGTTCCTGGAGGATTATGTTCGGTACACAAAACTCCCCCGCAAGGTAAGCCGCAGACATAAAGGATGCTGGGAAGCCCTATCCGTGAGCGATGTGACATCAACCCCGGGGTTCTCCTGGTGAGGTCCTGTTGCCCTCAGCAGCTGCCTCAGCCCCTCCCACTGCTGCGCAATAGAGGCTTCTGTCCCCTCCTCACTCTCCACCTCCTCAGGGCCAGCTCAGAGAGAGGAGCAAGCAAGAAGGGATTTCTAACTGGTCAGAGAAAGAAATGACCGCCGAGCGTTGGTGGCGCACGCCTTTAATCCCAGCACTTGGGAGGCAGAGGCAGGCGGATCTCTGTGAGTTCAAGGCCAGGCTGGACCGACAGCCTCCAAAACAGAGAAAAAAAAAAAAAAAAGAAATGACCACGGGTGCTCCCCCTTCTAAATAATAGCAACCTTGGGAAGTTTAAGCACAAAGGAGAGCTTCGTTTAAGAAATGTAAAGACCGCCAGGCAGTGGTGGTGCACGCCTTTAATCCCAGGACTCAGGAGGCAGAGGCAGGAGGATTTCTGTGAGTTCGAGGTCAGCCTGCTCTATAGAGCGAGTTCCAGGACAGGCTCCAAAGCTACACAGAGAAACCATAAAGAAACCAACACACCCCCCCCCCGCCAAAAAAAAAATGAAATGAAAATATCAAAAAACAAGAGACACAAGAAATGTAAAGATCTATAACAAATACTGAAAAAAAGTTTCTCGTCGTTTAAAATTAATACTTAAAAATAGGAGTCAGTAAAATGGAGTTTGCCACTTGATGGCCAACTTGACAGTCTGAGTTCAGTTCCCAGGACCCACAAGGGAGGAGGAGAGAGCTGGCCCCACAAGGTGCCCTCTGACCTCTGAGGCCCTTGTGGCCCTGGGCATAATAAATACGTGGGAAGGAAGACTTTCTTAACTGAAGACGCTTGACTGTCAAAGCCAAAGGGGACGTTTCAGAACTGGGTGAGCACAGTACTTAGTGAGACGACACGGCATTCCTGTTGTCAGGACCGCAAGACACTGTGGTGTCACTGGCGGGCGCTCCGGTTTTCATGGTCTAGATGTCAGATGATAAAATAAGTGAAAATCCAGATGTCAGATGATAAGTGAAACTAAATCTGGTAATGAGAGCCTAGCAGGATCACGGGGAAATTTTGAAACTAGCTCAGATGGTTGAGGTACAACTCAGTGATAGAGCAAGCCCTGGGTTCAACACCAGTACTGAAAAATCTTAAAGATGACTGAAAGTTGGGGGTGGTAGCACACACCTTTAATCCCAGCACTTTCAAGGCAGAGGCAAGTGGATGTCTGTGAGTTCAAAACCAGCCTGGTCTATATAGCAAGTTCCAGGCCAGCCAAGGCTATGTCTCAAAAACCAAAGCAAGGTCAGTAAATAACCTACTTAAATAATAAATGGACAAAGTAAAATAACTTAAAATACAAGAAAAAGGTCCCATCACAGAGGCATGAAGGAGATAGTATACAGTTAAGAAGACTGCTAGAGACTAGAGCCGTGTCTCAGTGGTTAAGAGCACATACTGTTCTTGCAGGGGACCTGAGTTCCATTCCCAGCACCCAATCAGCCAGCTCAAAACTGCCTGTAACTTCAGCTGCAGGCTTCTGACAGGCCGCTGACCTCCACAGACACAAATGAGTAACAATGAACATAGAAGACACTAGAAGAAATAGTCTTTCTTCTGAGCAGCCCTTTTCAACTGACCTCATGCTTAAGCATCTCAAAATCTCAAGTTTTGAAAGTCTGTTTCAAATGAGGGGACTTTTAAATTATACACATGGGCGACACTTAGTTTATAGACTTATATAATTGTAATCAAAGCCCCGGTTAATCTTTAACCTGCTGTTTTAAAGTTTTTGACTTTTGATAAAGGACTTTAGAAACCATTATTACATACCATATGTTAACATTACCACACAAAACTACAAAAATGAGAGCAGTGTGGTAGGGGACAGCAGGACCAGTGGACGAAGTCTGCACTTAGCAGCGTGGGGACAGAGGGGCACCTCACATGAGAAGACAGACTGTTGTCATGTGGCGGTTCTGGGACAGGAGACTCACAGTGTGAGCCCAAACTGTCACCCATGTTGTTAAACTCAACGGCAGACAGTGAGTGGTGAAACAGGTAAGTTAGCGACATTTAGATGAGCATGTGCGACAACTTCCTCACCATAACACATAAAGGAGAAAATGGGAAGGTGGGTTCAGAGTCAATCTCTAATTAATGCCTGATTAAATTCTATCAGATGCCTCTTTAAAAAAAACCAAGAGATGAAATAGGTATTAATACCTATAAATCAAAAACTGGACATTTCCTTGATCTGTGTAATGTTCTCATTCAATTCAGTAAAGAAAAAGGTGGCCGGGCGGTGGTGGTGCATGCCTTTAATCCCAGCACTTGGGAGGCAGAGGCAGGCGGATCTCTGTGAGTTCGAGGCCGGGCTGGACCGACAGCCTCCAAAACAATACAGAGAAACCCTGTCTCATAAAACCAAAAAAAAAAGAAAGAAAAAGAAAAAGATGACCTGTTGAGTAGAGGGATGGATAAAGGATACTAACGGGCAGGTTTTTAGGGTAAACATTTGGAAAAGGCTCGACCTTACTTATATCCATGCTGCAAACCTACTGGGGAAATGCTGGGCCGTATGCTTGGAAGGACTTATTCTCCCTGCTGTGAATGGGAATACAGCAACCCCAGCCTTTGAGTGGAGTTCAGCTTTATCTGTCTTCTTGAACTTAGAAGATATGTTTACCTAGTTCAGAAATTCTGCTGCTAGGAATTTACCTGCTAAAGATTAACATACACAATACATATGTGTGCAAATGTTCATGAGAGCACAAGGTCCATCAACTCTGCTATGAGCTGTAACCAACCATACTTTGATGTATCTCCTGGGCACCCTTTTTTTTTTTAACTAACCTCATGCCTAAGCCTCTATTAAAATATCTTTAATAAAGTCTCTATGCTTAAAAAGTTATACGATCCCAATTTTGAGTGAGTGTGGATTGTAAGAACACAATTTTTGTTTGCTTGGTTTTGTTTTTTGAGACCGTGTTTCCCTGTGTAACAGTTGTGGCTGTCTTGAACATGCTTGCTTTCTGTAGACCAGGCTGGCCTTGAACTCAAGAGTTCTGCCTCTGCCTCCCGAGTGCTGGGATTAAAGGTGAGGGGCACCACCACAGCCAGAGTACAAATTTAACCATTGGTTTTTAGTATGTCAGGACAGACACACACACACACACACACACAGGAAATGTTTTCAAACTCCTCTCTGGCTCACAGAGATCACCTATTCCATCCCCCACCCCACCCCAGTCTCCTTGCTTCCTTCTAGTAAGAACCGTTAAGGAATGCAGGCCTCTCGAGACCTTCCTGTTCTCCCCCCTGGCCTGAGGTTTCTCATTATTGCCTCTCAGATGTGCATTCCTACATCAAAGTAGCAAGTGTACGGTTTGGAGGCAGCAGGCCGCTCTCAAGTCTTGTGGGAGCGGTGCGCTCTAAGGAGACTAAGACACCAACAGTGAAAGGGCTGTTTCCTGGCTTACCTATGTGAGTCCGCTCACTCCAGCGCTTCAACGTATTCACTGCTTGAACTTTCCTGTATAAAGCTGGGCATTTGTTCAGCTACAGCGTGTCAATTTAAGTTCTGCTTAACATTCCAGGTGGCCGAGGCACATGTGCCTAACTTCATTTTTGATGAGTTCCGGACAGTCCTGTGACTTCCTCTTGCTTCAGCGGCAGGACTGCTCTCATTATTTATCTTCCTGTAACTAAAATGAACTTGGAAATGAAAAGAAAGTTGACTGCTCATGCAAGGCGCAGTTGTCCCTCCACCGTGGGAGTCAGCCATCCTGAGGGAGATGACTGTCGGCTCTGATACATTGTTTAAATCATGGTATTGTATGGAATTTGTATCATGTAGAAGCAGAGCTGTTTTATACTTGCATCTTCTAAGTACTCAGTATAACTGTGATGGATAAATCCATTTAGTTTTATGTTCTAAAGAACTATTTGTGAAACGCCCAATCTTCAGTAAAATAATACTGCCGGTACTCGGTCGTCTGTCTGTGATTCAGAATTGACACTCACCCCGTTAGAAACCCCACCTGGAAGGTGACAGGTGGCCGGGGTGGGGGGCAGATAGGCCTATAAGGAGCACTGACAGCCCAACAGTAAACTCAGTTCATGTCCTGTATGCTGTGTTCTGAGGGCTCCATCTTCTGGTCCTAGACACCACTCCCTGTGCCCTGTGCCAGCTGCTGAAGACAGACAAACAGTCGCTACCCATTGTTCCTGTTCTGTGTCTGGGAGGGAGTAGGGGCATGGGGGAGGGGTTATAGAGGTTTAGTGATAAACTTTTAAGACTCAAAATCCTAACTCGTTTCTACATGAAAATGCTTCGGGAAGAGAGTTGCCATCCCACCAGGATAACTTGGATGAGACAGGACAAGAGTGTCTGCCTGAACCTGTAGCTGGTGGTACCCGCTGCCTGCAGCTCCCAGGCTGAGCAAGAGACCTGCCTCAAATACCCCTAATGTAAAGATGAATTGAGGAAGACAACCTCAGGCCTCCACATGACATGGGCGCAGCCCTAATACATACACACACATAACAAATGGTAGATAAGTAGACAGAACAGGCTTAATAGCTGCACTTTCCGCCCCGCCTGGGTCATCGTCTCTGTGGCCATGAAGCTGTGAAAAGAAGTCTACAATGACAACAAGAAGGGCGAAAGAGTTCACTCTTCACTTTATTTGCATGTCCCAGTGAATCACCCCAGACACTGAAGTCAAAAGAAGACTCCGGTGCTAGCCCTGATCTGTGGAAAGAATCATCCTTTAAACACTAGCTCATGTGACCCTTCATTCTCATTGTCAAGTAAGGCATTATTTACACGCTTATACACAGCTTGGTCCTCGAGTCTCCTCCGGACAAGTCCCACACTTCTGGGCTATGTACATCCTCTTTATGGGCTTGACTTGCAAGCGGTTCCGCGTCAGTGAACCAGATACTTCATTTCTGAATAGATGAGAGGAAATATTACAGCACACGCTTTGTACAACACAGCACCACTGCTGAAAATGGCTCGGGGCTTTGTCGCCCAAGGCTCTGATTTAAAGCAGAAATACGTGGCATAGACGGCGACGGCAAAGAAGTGTCGGATCAGCACTAGCGGGTGAGGAGACAGTCTGTGGTGGAAAAGAAACGCACCGTTACAATGAGAGGTCCTAATTACGTGTCATCAACAGAAGCTCAGTGCAGGCCACACGAGAGGACTTAGCAAGCCAGCTATCTGCATCTGATGACGAGAATGAACTTTTACTGCATTATAAAAATCCACTTAGAATTAATAACCCTTTGACAAACCAATGGCCAGCCTCCCTCTTGAGTCAGATTTTTTTTCAGCTGCTTTCTTTCACTAATCCTGAGGTCCAAAATGAAGCACCAAACAGCTGCTGCAGTCTGGTTTGGCATCAGTACTGACGCTCTGACTACAGATCAGTTAAGTGGTGCCTTGAATTTCACTTCTCAGACTCCCCGAGGATACATCTGCACTAGCAAAACTACTCAATTTCAAACCAGTAGGATTAGATCTCCTGGAGATCACACGTGAAGACACCACAGGTGAAAACCACACTTCAGTTTTACTTGGAGGGCTCAGGCACCTTGCTCCATTTCTAATCAGTGTGTCTGAATCCTGGAAGACAGCGCGGTGCTAACCCGTGTCATCACTTAACGCCATGATGACGGGGACGCACTCACTCTAAAGCGCACGTGGAGATCAGGGGACAACTTCATAGAGTCCTTTCTTCCTCGTGGGTTCTAGGGATCGCACTAAAGATGCCAAGCTTTTGCAGCAAGCACTCCACCCGCTGAGACAGCTCCCTGGCCTCGTGGGGCTACTTGTGTCTAGACTACTACTAATGGGTGACAGACAGAACTAAGTGCCCATGGGAAAAAGACTGGCAAACTACGTTTCCTCCCTTCTGCTGTTGGAACTTACACAGAAAGCAGCCCAACAGGACCCGTCACACATTCTCCACCAAGTTTAAAATAAAGAAAGCAAGCTTTTCGGAGCTGATGCAAGGAATCTAAAATGAAATGTAGAAATCGTTATTTATCTTAGAGTGTTAGTGATTGTGTGAGAAAAAAAATAATGAAGACATAAAAGTGCCAAACATGACAATTTCTTCAAAGTCCTAGAATTCAACAATTGGGAGTTCTTTTGCATTCCCGAACTAATACTATAAATGGTAATGTATGAATAATCTGTTTCTGTTAATCCTGCTAGTACTTGGGTTTTATGAGTTATACATTAATTAAACAACACCAAATATTTTGTAAGTGCTTACTATAAAAACACAGGTGCTTAGATGCCTAACCCATAGTGCTGGGTCAACAATGGTTATCAAGAAATGAGTCTCTGCCTTACATCCACATAGCTTACAGGGTTTCTCTGTGTAGTTTTGTAGACCAGGCTGGCCTCAAACTCACAGACATCCACCTGCCTCTGCCTCCTGAGTGCTCAGATTAAAGGCGCGAGCCACCAACGCCCAGCTCCACGTAACTTTTAAGTGCATTTCAAAGCCTTCAAAAATGATTAATAATAAACTTTTCCTTTTTTTAGTTTTTTGAGACATACTTTGTAGCCCTGGCTGTTCATTATGAAACTTAGTTCTCTGACCAGGTCGGCCTTGATCTCACAGACAGCCGCCTGCCTCAGTCTCCCAAGTACTGGGATTAAAGGCCACTGCCATCTGGCTAGATTTTTCTTTACATGATTTTTTTAAGGATGAAATATGGTAAACTTTTGCTCACAAAGTTCTTTCCTCCCCTGATCTGTCACTAACTGTTTGTTGTTGGCAGCGTTGCTGTTTAAGAATCTCAGAGCTTAGACAAACTCAAAACTTCAATTCCTTTCCTCTCATCTGCCCAAGCAGCCACTTTAACTTCCTCTCCAATTCAGCAGACCCGCCTTGCAAACCACAGTGCATGATGGGTCATTTGTTTTAACGAGAGAGAAGTGCGGGTGGCTGTAGCCTATGGGAAGCATTTCTGTCCCATCTCCTCTTCAAGCAAGGGGCTTGAAACATCTCACATCTAGATGCTCTTTACTTAGTTATTTTGAGTGTGATACAGGTGCGGGGGGGGGGGGTGCAAACACCAGTGTCATTTGTCTTGAGACAGTGTGAGGTCAATGTCATTTGTCTTGAGACAGTGTGAGGTCAGTATCATTTATCTTGAGGTAGAATCTTATTATGTAGCTCAGGCTGACTTCCCAATCCTTCTGCCTCAGCCTCCTGGGGGCTAGGAGAGCAGGCCTCACCACACCTAGCTCACAATTTCAAATTAGGAATGTTCAACCTATAGATAGAGTGGTCAACCTCTCTACGCTACAGAAAACGAAGCACATGGCTATTCCAATGAGTGACACTGTGCACTGTAGCAGCAGAGAAGCCTGGTGTAAGAAGGAAAAGGCCACCCTGCTTCCCACACCCCTCCAGAAAGGCCTTCCTTCAGCGACTTGCCATGTGAGGACACATGCTGTAGTCTGACCAGAGGCACTAAATGGATGCGCTTCTGAGACACTGCTAGGGATGCTTTCTAAAGAAGGCCAACGGCCTCCAGACAAAGTGGTAAATGCTCAGACATCAAAAGGGACCATCACATTGGCGCGGAGTTGGGTGAATTGTGATTATGGACTAACTACTTTACTACCAACTTGTGTAATTAAGGCCCTTACCTAAGGAAACATAAAAATCTGTACAAATCAGTACTGTCTGCTTATGAACACGTACACTTACCGTCTGTAGCAGAAAATAATTCATACAGAGCCTGGGCCAGCACATTCACCACAAAGGAGTGAGTCCTTTTTCTCGACCAATAGAATGACTTCTTGGCCTAACGATGAAAGATGTCATTTTACATAGTTAAAGAGGAAGAAAAGCATAAACTGATGTTTACAGTCTCTTGAGGAGACTGTGATATCTGTCCCAAGGCCTAACTCAATTTCAGAGCTATGGGTCACAGGCTACTGAGCTCAGCTCACAGACCTGAGCAGAGTGGCCTGAACCAACTCGGTGTAACATACTAAAGCATACAAACTAATGAGCAAGTCGGGCACATTACACCTCAACCAGACGCAGCAGCATTGTGAAACACAGGCTTCCAAGCAGATTCCTACCAGGCTGCCGTTCCTTGCGTCCCCACACAGAAATGTATTTTGCGTCATGTTCAGGAAGGGAAACTCTAGAGTCTCACCTGGAAAACAGCAGCATCGTCACAAAGGTCCGGAATGCCTTTCAGCAGTTTCCTCCATAGTTTCACATCCTTTAAGGCGACTGTCATCCCTCCACCAGTGAGAGGGTGCCTCAGGTTATATGCATCACCCAGAAGGAGAACGCCTGTGGAAAGGGAACTAAGATCAGGAAACCCTGGACAGCTCTCGGAGACAAAAACGTTAGTGCTGTCGAACTTATGGCTAACTAATATATCCTGAGAATGGGTAATTAAATTTGCTTTCTGAACAACTTTCAATCTATATCTCAACAAAGTTGCTGCCAAAAAATTTTTTTTAATTATCAAGTTCTGTTGTCTACTTAGGGTAAAACTATTAAGCACATATCCTACCAGGCATGTGGTCTATAATCTGTTCTTGGGAAGTATGGGCAGGACAGACAACCAGGAGTTCAAGGTCATCCTCAGCCACATAGTTTTAGTCTGGGCTTTATGAGGAAAGAAAGGGGGGTTGGGAGAGGGGGTACTGGAGACATGTCTTAGCAGGTGAGAGCGCTTGCGACTCTTGCGAGGACCCGTTTGGTTCCCAGCACCACATGGGAGGGACCATCTCAGCTCCAGCTCCAAGGACCCTGACCTCTCTTCTAGCAAACACACACGTAGTAAAACTAAAAATAAATCTTTAGCCAGGCTTGGTGTTGCACACCTTCAATCCAGCGCTCAGGAGGCAGAGACTGGTGGATCTCTGTGAGTTTGTGACCCAACTGGTCTACATAACAAGTTTCAGGCCAGGCAGGACTGCACATTAAGACCTGGTCTCCAAAAAGTAAATAATAAACCTTTAAAATAGAAATTGAAAACACAACTATACAACTGTGTGGCCAGTCCCAGGAATCTACTTGAGTTCCTAGAAAGCCTCCACACTCAGCCATCCTGGGGGCGTGTGGATGCATTACCTCCTAGTAATTACCTCCCTCTCTGTCCACCTTCCAACCAGTGCAGCTTCCCAGGCAAGCAATGTCCGCCCTAACCGCCTTCCACTTCAGAACCCCCCTCCCAGTCTGTGTACAGGGATGGAGTTCTATGGGAACTGTCATCAATGCCGCTGTAGACCCCATCCCATGCCCAGGAAACTGGTCTTCTTCAGGTCACGGGGCAGCCTTTAAACCCTGTTGTCCTCTCAATGACTGCATGGTGCCTTCCACAAAGCCAGAGCGAACAGTAATTACATCATAAAACCCTGATGTTGGGAACATGTTCAGGTAACCAATGGCCCTCCTCCTGCTCTTCCTGCAGTGTGAGCATACTACTCCAAGGTCACCAAGGCTTCCTGTTATTGCCCGACCACAAACACTTGTCATTTGAAGTAATGGCAGCAGTATGAAATAATGCTAAGAGATACCTCGTTTGTTCACTGGGGAAGGAGGGAGGAAGCTTGCTGGCATGGTCCGCAGACGAGCGTTCTGAGAGGCCTCCAGGAATGGCTCCTTCAAGTGGTCTGCAATAAATCCCATCCCACCAAATAAGACAGAGGTTCTGAGCATTTCAGTTTCGAGTTAGCACACATCTTCTTGTCAACATACAAGAATACTTACCTGTGTATGCCTTGTGGCTGTACACAGCTCCTTGCAATAAACCAATTTCCTACTTAATAGCATTATCCAGTGAGCAGCTCACTATGCGTGTTACAGAATGACTAAGAGCTGAGAGCTGCTGTGAGAGTATACAGCAGGTGACAACTATGGTTCCCTGGTGGGGAGCCCCACTTGGCAAGGCCGTGGGGTCCGGCTGTGGAAACCAGTGGCTCCTGTCTGTAATTTCCCACATCACAGTTCTGGGTGTGTCCCCACTACTCGTGTCTATGGCGGGAAAATGCTCCATCTAGTGGGCACACAAGAAACTGCAGATGGTCAGAAGGGCAATGTCTACTATCTGTGTTGTCCTGATGAATACAATACTAGGACATTTTACACTGCTCAGACTGACATAGGGTTCTCAGGCAAAGACAGCCTCTTACACACAAACTAACTTTAGACTTCAGAGCAGATTCAAGGCAGGCTGGCTGCCCCTAGAGACAATATCCGGTTACCTCTAGAGACAAATACATGAGCTCATCTTCCCAGGTGCTGCTGCTGCTGAATTCAAGGACAGACTAGAAACAACTTGATTAGGCACAACTTTCTCAGTAGTTGACTTTCTGCATGTAGTCCTAGCCTCAGGCTCAAGGTCCAGCCAAGTGCTTACTCACTGTCTAAGACCCCTCACCAACTGAGAGCCACGTGCAAGGCCACTTGCTCACGGGCCAATCAATGTGACATTCCTAGCCTGAGAGAAACTATGTGACTTATCTTGGGTTTTGAGAAGGGGTCATGGGGCCATAAAAATGTAACTTGTAACTGTCCAGAGTCCGGCTGTGAAAGCAGCAGCAGGACGGACGTGTGCGGGTGGGGGAGGGGGAGGGGGCGCGAAGGGCAGGGGCAGCAGAGAGAGAAGGATGGAAGGATGGACATCTCTTAGGGAGACGCTGCTGAATAATGGAGCACTGGGAGGAGAGCAAGAGGGATTTTCCAGGGAGGATTTTTTTTCAAGATGAAATCAAGAGAAAGTTGCCATTAGAAAGATCTGTGTTTCTTTATTTTCCCCTCAGGTAAAAAAGGTCTAACTACTGGATAGGTAAGAGCTTCTCCTAAGCTACGGCCGCATTTGTGGATTTTCTCACACACCCTGGTGCTGACTGGGGGCTGTGTGTACACTGTGCACGCTAAGGAATCTAAGAGGAGACAGGAGGAAACGGCACACCGCTCAACAGAAGAGAGAGGCGGGAGGAGACAGGAAGAAGCATGCTAGCCGGCAGCCGTCTGTAGTCAGCTCTCGCCAGCCCCGTACTCTGATAACCCAGGACACACACTGCGCGCTCACGAGCAGCTGTGCTAGCCTGACTGCCTCAGGAAACCGGGAAGAGGCTTTTGTGAGACCAGCTTTCAGCTAGAGATTAGTAAGGGTAACATCCTGATTCTTACCAGGTATTTGGGGGTAAATCTGCTCAGCCAAGTACTCTCTTAAGTTCCTCGGCATCTCCCCGCGGATGTCAACAAGCACCCGGGTCTCGCTGGCTGAGATCTGGTAGATTAGAACTGGACTTGGGTTGAGCAGAACAAGTTCAGCAAAATTGGCTTTAAACTGTGGCGCATTCTGAAAAAAGAATGATCTTAGTAACTTTCAAGTCTCAGGTTGTTTTTATTTTCCCACAATCGCAACCCTCCTTACCTTCATAAGGAAACCCACGAAGTGAGATGAAACAGAGACTTTACTGCAGATGAGGTTCTTCCTGAACTTGGAGAAAAGCCCATCTGCAACAACAGTCAGCGGGGCGTGGAGCTCCTGCAACACAGGGGAAGACCGCCCGGCAAACGGTTAGACCCGACACCCGTCTCCTACAACACAGGGAAAGACCGCCCGGCAAATGGTTAGACCCGACACCCGTCTTCTACAACACAGGGAAAGACCGCCCGGCAAACGGTTAGACCCAACACCCGTCTCCTGCAACACAGGGAAAGACCGCCCCGCAAATGGTTAGACCCGACACCCGTCTCCTGCAACACAGAGCGTACAGGAAAATACCCGAATGCATTTAAATGTGCTTGAGTATTTGAATAAATGTTTGAATTATGCGCTTACAGAAAGTACCAGAGCATCCAGAGAACTTAAGAGAATGAACCTTGTGTCCCTGGAGGTCACCTCCCTGTGCGGCTCTGCCACCACAACTACCAAAACTCTCCCCCGTGGCAGACACGAAGGAGAACGTCCAGGCAACATGGGCCAGGGAAGACTGAACCTCATCACAGACTTCATTATGAAATCGCCTACCTTCCCGTGGCACTGTCTGATGAGCGGCTGACAGAAGCATTTCTATACAAGATGATGTGTACTGACTTTACTACACGGAGAGCAAGGAGAACCTGGTAACCCTACCAGAGTCCAGTTTCTAGGAAGGGATGGCCCCGTACAACAGTCTAGAAGGGCCCTTTGCCTCTCTCTCTCTTGTTAACAGGCCAACATTAACATAAACCAGAAACTCTTTTAAAAACTGTTCCTTGCTGTCAACATTTTCCTATTCTGACTATAGCAACATGTACAGTAACAACATGTACAGTAACAACATGTACAGTAACAATAAGTACACACAGCCCCATCCCTGGAGCCTCATAAAGTGGAAGAGAACCAACTGCACAGTGGTCCTCTGACCTACACACACTCACACACACACTCACACACACGCACTGTGGCATGCACACGCACTGTGGCACGCACACTCACACTCACACACGCACTGTGGCACTCACGCGCGCACACGCACGCAGGCACATGTACACACACACTCTCTCACACACATGCACTGTGGCATGCACACTCACACTGTCACACACACACACAGGAAACAATACAGAATTGTAAAGGGGCAGGAACCGTCTCTGAGCAAGAGACGACATTCACTAGACGTCACCTTGGTGTCTCCAGTCTCCTTGTCCTTGTACTGTACCCCTGTCACCGCGTCGTCTTCCTCTAGTAACTGAAGGACGACGCCCTCTATAAACTTCACACTGGAGAAGGAACACAAACGTATTGCTACATTAGCCCGCTTGAGCAACGTCCCTTAGCTATGACGCAATCTTTACTCTCTAACGCTTATGCTCATAGGAAAGGGACATGCGTGTTCATGTGTGTGTGCAGTAAAAAGCCCACGACAGTACAAAGCAGAAAGCCACCAGCACATCTAGAATTACGTGTGGTTTTCACTTTGTAATGGACAACAAACACATATTACAAATGTAATCATTTTTAAAGTGTTTTTAAAGTTGCATCATGTTTTTGATCATTTGTTAAGAAAAGAATACGGTCAAGCATAATTATAATTACATTTGCTGTGTGAACACAGTATCGAAATGCCCTCTAGGCTCACAGAGCTGGTCAGAAATTTCTTTGTGCAGTGCACAGTGGTTAAGACAGAAACTCACAACTGGTCAAAGTACAGAGAGAGTGTCTGACATGCTCAGCCACAAATGGGACATCCACATGACACCCCTCCCCTAGGGGGCAGAGAGAATTACGGAGGCTGGGGAGGACAGATGTAAAACGGTGTCTTCTGGGCACAATGGGACTCTCTCAGGAACTTGGCTCTGGCTGCCTGCACAGGACCAAGCTGGTCTACATTCCAGCACGGGAGGAGGGGCTCATGAGCCCCAGTCCAAAGAGATGGGAACAGACAGCTGGCTTTCTTCAGGGGTGTGCTATCCGACAGGCTGACCATGCCCCTCCGACGGACAGTCTCATATTCATGAGGGAATAAGCAGTACAGACTGCACTCGGTGAGTCATTAAAATAAAATAAATAAAAGGGCATGAGGGTAGGAGTGATAAAGACATGATGGGTAGACCTGGGAGGAATCGGTAAATAAGAACAAAATACCCTGTATGCATGTATGAAAGTCTCACAGAATCACATATTTTTAAAATATAAAATGGCGGGCTGGAGAGATGGCTCAGTGGTTAAGAGCACTGACTGCTCATCCAGAGGTCCTGAGTTCAATTCCCAGCAACCACATGGTGGCTCACAGCCATCCGTAATGAGATCCGGTGCCCTCTTCTGACCTGCAGGCACGCATGCAGACAGAACACTGTATACATAATAAATAAATAAAATCTTTAAAAAATAAAAAAAAACAGCATTTGACCAATTTTAAAAGTAATTCTATCCGGCAGAAGGGTCACAACTTTCCTGTTGGAGGCATTTCCCCGCTTTTACACAATGAGCACTGGAAGCACTTCGGCCTAAGGAAAAATCCACCAACCCCTTCACTGTGTCCACACGCAGGCCTGTGTCAACCACATGAGTGCTCTCATCTTTAGGACTTCCGTAACCAGCGCTAAGATGACAGGGAAACAAGTTAATCACCAAGACAAGCAGCCAGGCCTGTCAGACCAGGTGCTCAGGGAATGGGAACAGGGTTTCTTCTTACTGTCCTCTGTGCTTTCAAGAACAGTACTATAACCACAGAGACTCAAATGGACACACACGCCTTAGTCACAGCACTTAGTCTGTCCTCTAAGTTCCAATCAAATAATAACCACCTCATTTCTACTTAAAGGAAAACTCTCTTACTGTCTTTACAGAGGCACTGAACATATTTTAATTATGGATTACTTTATTATAGTAGACCATGCCAAGAATTTTCATGAACACTGATGAAATCTCGCTTGTATAAGGGGACATATTTTACTTTTGTTGGTGTGTATGCCCTGACGTGCGCACACGCATGCGCACACGTGAGCATGTGCACAGATGCCTGAGGAAGGCAGAAGAGGGCACCAGACCCTCTGAATCTGGAGCTACGGGAGGCTGTGAGCCACCTGACTTGGATGCTGGCTGGGAACCAAGCTCCAGTCCTCTGCAAGAACAGAAAGAAACCTCAAGCACTAAGCCATCGGCCGCGCCGGGGCCCCGGGTCTGGTTCGGTAACATCAGACAGCTAAGCTGGGGTCTTACTTGGGCTCTGCCATAGCTGCTTTGCGGAGACTCATGATGAACTTGCCATGGTGGAAAGCAACTCCGTTCTGGACTTGGTTGTTTTCCGAAACCGGGTAGGGAATCTGCACTTCAGATCTGCTCTCGTAATCATGGACTATGTAGCCGTGTATCATATGGGCATTAAAACCCTCCACTGTATCTGCAAAAAAAGGTCAGTTCAGACAACTTCAGGAATATGCTGAGATTACCAAGAAAGGGACCAAGAAACAGACACAGACTCTGAAAGCAAGGCTCTGCCTTACAAAGCCAGGAGACCAGCTGGAGAATGAAACTGACACAAGCATTATAAAAGTCTAGCCCTCAGAGACAAGCAAGAAAAGCAACCTGCAATGAGACAGGCCACGATCCTCTCCTGACTGAGTCACAAGGATACAGAAATGAGTCGGCCCTTGTTAACACGCCTCCCAGTGTAGAAACAGCAAGGGGTCGGGGAGGAGGGCAAGGAGAAAATGAAGTCGCATTAACTATTTCTAACAGTCCCCGTTTACACATCAAGTCAGTATAGAAAAGTAGATTTCCCCATCCAAATAGAACAGATAGTCCCTAAATGCTGGTGGTGTCTACTGGATATGAAAATTGATTCAAGATAAACTGCAGAGTAATTTTAGTAAATCTAAACCAGAAAGCAAAACATCTCTGGCTTTTCTGCATTTAGGGCAGTATAAGAAATAGTAAAAAACATAACAATAACAAAAAATTTAAAGAACCAATTGAAAATTTGAGAAATTTAAAAATTAATGGCAATTTAAAATGTTTTAGGGAAAATAGCAAATAAAACAAAGCATTACCATGTATGCATAAAATTTACTTACTAAAAATATTAATATGCAAAAATTAATGAGCAAAAAGTATAGCAATGATTCATACAAAGCAACATACACCCAATGAACAAATTAGAATAAGCCTGGCCTGTTGGTCTGAAACTTCAGTACTGGGAACTGAAGCTTTTCAAGTTTGTCCCAGAATCAAAATAAATTCATGTTTTAGTATTTCATTGATTTTTATTTTATGTGTATGAGTGTTTTACATACGCATATGTATGTGTCCATGTGCATGCCTGGTGCCTGTGGAGTACAGAGGGCATCAGAGGCCCTGGAAGTGTAGTTACAGGTGGCTGTCAGGCATCATGTGAGCTCTGGGAGCCAAACCCAGGTCCTCTGCAAGCAGCACACAACTGTCCCAGTCGTGGAAGCGAGCCGCCCACTCTAAGTCAGAGGTAGAGTCACACGAGAAATCCAGGCCTGGCATGGAGGTCAATACTTTTAATCCCAGCACAGAGGCAGGCAGATCTCTGAGGCCAGCCTGGTCTACACAGTAAATTCCAGGCTAGCCACGGCTACATACCTTGACCCCCTTGTCCCAAAAAAACAAAAACTAAAGAAAGAAACCCAAACAGAGCTTTGTGTTCTGACTTCGTGCAAAGCTCTGAACCTTCTAGCTGAAGAAAAACAACATCAATAAATGAAAGTCAAAGGTTAAACTAGAGTTCTATAAATGTTAATAAAAATCATAGGAGACATAGCAAGTTTTAATTACATAAAAATTTTAAGTATATGCAGAATCCAACACTTTCCTGGATAAGAAGTCTCAACTGGAAAAATGTCAGCGTTCCCAAAATTGAATAATATGTTCGACATTTTTTAATCATAATCTTGGAAATGCTGTTTTTCTATAAAACTTAAAAAGTCTGACCCTAAATTATATACAAAAAAAAAAGGTGGAGGGTCTAACAAAACCCACGATAATCCTAAAGCAAATAAAGTTGAGGGCAGTGAGCATTAGATACTGAGACATGGTATAGGCATACAGAACTGAAATTACAGTGCATTAGTTATAAGACTTATGGGTATTAAGTACAATCTATATGGCAATCAGTTCACTAATTAAAAGTCTACAATCCAAGATGAACCATTTGATATTCTGTTAGACAGCCTTTATCTGCAATGTAACCATTCCAAGTAATTCTATCACACATACCTCCTCAAACCTGAGGGGACTTAAACATAGTTCGTGTTTAAAGGACTCTTATTGGGGATAGCAGACCTATACTGGGTAAAGACCTGGGAGGCTGTTCTCAGTACACTGGGTGGGCTGAAGGGATGGCTCAATGGTTAAGAGTGTGCTTTGCTCTTCCAAAGGACCCAAGCTCAATTCCCAGCAACCACATCAGGTGACACACAACCACCTGTAACTCCAGCCCCTCCACGGGCACCTGCACTCACATGCATAAACAGACAGACAGACAGACAGACAGACAGACAGACAGACAGACACAGACACAGACACACACACACACACACACACACACACACACACGCAAATCTTAAAAAGAAATAAGAATCCACTGGAACTCGTGGCCACAACCATGTAGCTGTTTCCTGAGGCTAGATCTACAAAATACTGTCTAGTCTTTAGTTCGAAGTCATTTCTGATTGGCTAAAGTTCAAATACAAGGTCAACAAAATCCTGTTTCTGGATACTGACACATCAGCTAGCAGTGCAAGGTGGCCCCTTAAGGAGCCTACAAGGACAGCCACGGCACCTTCCTTCTGCAGAAAGCACGTTGGTCTCTGTTTGGCTCCAGGCACGAAGTCTTGGCTTTCCTCTGTGTTGCTTTTGTGCCTTGCTTTGGCTCCCGATCACCTCGCTGGTCCATGCTTGCATGTCCCAGAGCCTAGTCCCAGACTTCTTGGCAACAGTTAACTTACATGAGTTCCATGGCCCTTCCTTTTGTCACACCTAACATCTGATTCATCAGGAGGTTCTACTCACTCTTCCTGCAAATAAACTCCCAGGGAGGGTCACACACCTCTACTGCTGTGACTATCCTGACTGTGCAATAGCTTCCGGATAACCTTGTTTCTGGCCTTACCACTCCATGGCCTCTCTTGTACTCAGAATACACTTTTAGATCTTGATCACACTTTTGAAATGTGGACCTTGATAGCTCCTTGAGTTTCCAGTGGCTTCCCTTTAGAGGAACAAAACAGAACAGACTTACAGTGAACAGCACAAACCCATGTCTTCACTACTGTCTGCACCTTCTCTGACTCAAACGTTCCTCCACTCAACATGGAAGCTGACAGCAGGCTTGACAGCTCTTCTTGGAAGGAAAGCTCGGCCTGGAATTCATAGTCTCCTGATAGCTCCAAGGCTTAGACTCCTCCTTCATTTCTTTCCTCAAAGGTAACTTCTCACCACCAAATACTAAACTCACCCCCAACTCGCTCTTCCAGTCTTTCTGATTTTCCTCTAGTCCCTATAATCTTCATCTATTTTATCATCTTCAAAAAACTACAGTGTCCGTTAGCACCTCTCTCTAACAGCCACTACAACGTAGTGTCAGAAAGAAGAACCCTGCAACACCTACTTTTAAGTATCTGTTGGTCACTCTCCGCCAGCTTGCACGCTGATTCAAGTCTGGCTCCAGGAAACAGCGCCCTGAGCCCTCCGTTTCCAGCTCTCTCTTGGATGTTAACAATGGGGATGATATTTCGGGGAGAAAGCTTCTATGTTTGTTTTTATACTTGTCACTGATATTCAACAACTGTTGTGTGTTTATAGGGATAACATGATGGCTGAACTCACGTACCTTGACAATAAAATTACAGAACTCAGTATATTCATCACCTTAAAAAGCATGTCCATGACTCAGTTACAGCACCGGCCTCTCTATCATACGTCACTGTGAAAAAGGACTTGTATCACACACACCCCCACTGGCCTCATATTCCTATCTAATTTCATCCAGGTCTGTTTTCTGCCATTAAATTGGTGTCTCCAGAAATGGCACAGCGGCTGGCCACTGGCTGCTCTTCCAGAGGACCACAGTTCAGTGCTCAAAACCATCAGTGACTCCAGTTCATAGGATCCAACAACCTCTTCTGGTCTCCTTGGGCACCAGGCACACGTGTGATACACAGAACTGTAGGCAAAACCCTGAAATCTATAAAATAGTAACTTTTTCTTACGTTGTAAAATCCCATAAAAATAGTTTTCTGTGGGTTAGGGATTGGTTCCGGGGTAGGGTGTTTGCTTCGTATGGACAAGTCCCTGGGTCCAATCTCCAACATCAAAGGAAGGGGAAATATTAGTTTCCCTCTCATTTCAGCTCAGGGTTTCGTGTCCCACGGACTGCCAAGCCCAGTGGCGACTGCTCTTCACTCATCTCGCCCAGTGTCTGACCGGGAGAAATGACACAGCTGTCCTTGTCCTTCCTGGTATACAGCCATGTCTTTCCAAGCAGCGGCTTAAGGCACAAACCTAGGGACTGCTGTGTGTGAGTGTGAGTGTGAGTGTGTGTGTGTGTGTGTGTGTGTGAGTGTGTGTGTGTGTGTGTGTGTGTGCGCGTGTGTATATGTGTGTGAGACCTATATCTCTTAGCTTTACCATGTGTCCATTTTCCTTTATAAGTTGCTACCGCCCACATGTCAGCTAAAACCAGCACCATCTTAATCTGGGCTCAGCACTGAGTTCCCCCAGACTTCTAACCTGACAATCTTAGAGTCTGTTCTTTGGGGTTTGGGGTTTTTGTGTTTTGTTTGTGTGCTTGTCTTTGTTTTCAGAAAGGTTTTTCTGTGTATCCATGGCTATCCTAGAACTCTATGTAGATCACACTGGCCTTGAACTCAGAGACACAGCTGCCTGCCTGTGGCTCCCCGGCCTTGTGATTAAATGTGCGTGGCGCCTCGCCTGCCCTATAGTCTGTTCTCCGCACTGTATCCATGTGGCTTTTCCCCCAAACACCACTGTGGATAAATGGCAATGTGTGACCCAACTAACTGTAAAGTGAATTCTGAATTGTCATCCTTTTGGTTTGTTTGTTTTGCTCTTGGAAACAGGCTTTCTCTGTGTAGCTTTGTAGCCAGTCCTAGAACTTGTTCTGTAGACCAGGCTGGCCTCGAACTCACAGAGATCCACCTGCCTCTGCCTCCCAAGTGCTGGGATTAAAGGTGTATGGGCCCACCACCCAGCCTGAATTGCCATCTTTTAACTGGTAAAGCCATTAACAAGAATTTTAAAAAGCAACAAGAAGAAATTTCAGAAGCAGATATGCAGCTCAGTGATAGGATATATACATACATACATACATACATACATACATACATACATACAGCATTTCAGTCAGACTGAAACGCATGTGGCTGCACGGAGCCACCATGTATCACGTGTGTTACACTGCTGTAGCACTGAACCACTGTTTTAGGAGTAAAATGACACCATGTCATCTTCCTGGCCCACGGCTTCTGAAGCCCTCCGTGAGCCAGCCTTCCTCTCCAACCTTCAGGTCAGGTCACCTTCCTCTGCCATCACCCACTGCTGTCTCTATCTGCCTCCTCTTCGGCTCCCTCCACAGAACAGCAGACCAGAGCACCAAGTATTGTTCTCAATGGTCTACAAGTTCAGACTCACAGCCTAACCCTCACAGTGCGTGAAGCACAGGGTCTTCAAATGCCCTTCCTATAAATGAAGGAACAAACCACGCACGGAAGGCTACATGACGCGGTTTAAAGTTAGCTACCAGGCAAGGCCATACAGCTCTTAAAAGCCGGAGCTGACACTCAAACCCAGGCACTGTAGCTCCAGAGCCAAGGCCTTCCGCCAGCACATCCCCCGCTACACCTTCCGAGCAGGTGGCATCTCGCCTCACAGATGAGTGTCATTTGTCCCCCACTTCTCAAGAGTATCTGTCTTGATCATCAGCACACGTGTGTAACACCTCAGTCCAAGACAGCAGTAAACAAACACTTCCCAAGTGAATGTACAAGTCCTTAAAGGCACTGGCTGAGTAAATGGATCATGATACCTCAGATCAAACATCCACACCCGGAACGTAGTACCCACTCTATGAATGAGAGCTTGGCTTACTAAATGTAATGTCGTCGTGTTTGACGTTACGCTTCTTTGGACGTTCTGTTCTCTCATTCCGTCTCGGTAGCCTCTTCTTGTCATGCCACTAAGGGTTTCTTTTCTCCTTTGCTGTCATTCTCAGTCAAGTCCTTAGCAAATGGAAAAGCTCTCAGGAAAGCAGAAGAGTCTAAAGTACACACCTAACACCTGAAGATCAGGCGAACCTACCTCCGAGGCCCAGCTCTTTAAGGACACGGTAGCCGCCTGGCTGCAGAAGCTCGCCAACGATCCTGTCAGGCTCTTTTAAATCTCTCTCGATTACCGTCACCTTTCGTCCATCTCTGGAAAGAACCGTCGCCAAAGCTGAGCCAAGGACACCAGACCCCACGATGATAACTTCCGGATCATTCAGAGAAGGTGCTGCCACTGAGGTAGCTGCTCCTGTCAATGTTGTTTCTGAATTATTGGTTTCTTTTCGGCACTGTTTAACAAAAAGGATAATATTAAGTCATAGTCCTACCTCATAAACTACTGGACATCTTGAGCAAATCTATGTTTTTAAATCCAGACCAAACATAAAAATCAGCATCAAAATACTGTCTAAACAGAAACGTATATAAACATATATCCACTTTTCTGGACAGAGTAATTAGAAAGTGTTGTTATATAGGCATACTTACAGACCCACATCAGGTCAGATACTATAAACGTCTACAATGAGATTCAAAGGCACAGCCTAGGACAATGTTGTGCAAGTACATCCTGAGCATCTACGTGTGGCTCTCAGTTTCGGAGTCCCCATGTTAAGTACGCACGAGTGTGCACTCCACATACTCTGGCAAGCTCCCTCTTTTCCAGAGAAGTGAAAGCCTGAAGCAGTCACAAAATGAAACCCGCTTGCCAGCTGACAATCCAGTTTTCCCACCCCACAAATTCTCTATGCAGACAAGTGACAGTACCTCAGTCCCAAGGGGAGTCCTCTAAAATACAAACACCAGAGTCTTCCCCTTGAGAAGCAAGTCTCACCTCCAAGCCGCAATCGCCATGCCACTGAACGTCAGTGCCGCCTCAAAGGCACCTAACAGACTATCCTTACACCAGTGGCCATAGCTAGCTATCACTTAACTACAAGCGACGGTGGTGACACACTCGTCTAGCAGAACAGGAAACTGATTCAGGAACTCAAAGTGTCACAGCCAAAGTGGCAGAGCCAAACTTCCAGAGCCAAGTCCTTTTCTTCTGTCACCCGGCTCACCTGTGCTAGGGACATGACAACGTTAGCAGATCTGGGAGTCTGCATTGCTTTGTGGGTAACTCATTCTATCTGGCCACTATGCCGGGCTGGGAACCCTGATAGTCTCATAGCAATATCCCTGCTATTATTATCATCATCGTTGTTGTTGTTGTTATTATTATATTAAAATCAAACGTCGCTGCTCTCACTCTTAAGTCCTTCCAGCGTTCCTGGGAGAAGAGTTCAGATATCCATGGCTTGTACCATCCTGTCTGGTCTCCCCGCATCGGCCTCCATCCTTCCGTGACAGTATCACCGTCAGTCTCTGACACTGGATCATCATTCAATTACTATTGCCTTAGGACTGACTGTACTGGCTTATTCACTGCTTCAATGACTCCAAGGAGGAAGGCTCTTTGCCGAAGCCTTCCAACTTCTGAGCACTTGTACTGCTTTTCCAAGTGTTCCGTCACTTTCCCCAGTCAGGGTCGCTTTTCTAAGGGGCCTGACCTGCCACACAACTCTTTCTTCTCAGGTACAAATGCCATCCGTATCCAGGGATGTAAATCAAATGCTAACGTGTTTCCTACCAAACCAATACCCAAGCCCTTACCTAAGGATCAGGCAACGCTAAATGAAACAAACGCTCTTGATGTTCCTAAACCAAGGATCGTAGTCACAGCACAATCCGGAACTTAAAAAACAAAAACAATCAACTAAGTGACAATGTTGACGCCTCTAAGCCGTCACTTCCTTGCCTTTTAAAGAGACCGTAAACTCGAGTGACCTCGATCGTAAGTTTAAAATACGATGCCATTCCTTTTGCCCACCGTGGAATCAGCCTACCTTACTGGACTCGGGCTCCTCTTTCTTTTCGGACTCAGGGGGGGACTTGGCCCAGAAGAAGCCAATCAGAGGCAAAGCGGAGAGAAAGCCCGAGAAGGCGGCGAGCTGGGAGCCGCTCTGCTGGCGCCCGAGGAGGCCCGCGTTCCGATGGCGACAGCGGTAGGAGAGCACCAGGCCCAGCGACAGGAACACCAGCACGCACAGCAGCAGTTCCTTGTTGGCCAGGGTGACGTCCCCGCATTTCTTGTAAAAATAGGTGAAGGTGGCGATGCCAAGGAAAGTCCACATGGCTCAAAAGGCTTCTCTGGTGGCCAAGGCTGAGGATTCGGGGTTGTTTTGGTTTGTTTGGGTTTTTTTTTGGGGGGGAGAGGGTGGTCTTGTTTTCCTTGGTGATTAAAACGCTCTCCCCACAATGCGCTTCTCAAAGGGGGCTCGGGGACAGCGGTCCAGCTCCTTCCTGTCGATAGTTTCAGGATCACGCGTCAGATGAGATCGATTTCTGAACACACAACCGTGATCTGAAGTTGTCCGGGAGTTAAGACGCAGCGTCCGAAGCCTGCTCGCAGCTCTCCGCCCAGCCAAGTGACACTCGGGTCTCTCTGTCCCTCTCTCTCCCGAGCTGGGGGACGTCGAGGTCCGCTCGCCGGGCTGCAAACGGTCTTTTGTCAGCAGCAGCAGGGGCTCGGCAGGAGGGACCGGGGTGCCGGGAGCGCTGCCCCTAAGCGACACTGCCCGGCCGGCCGCCTTCTCCAACAAAAGATGGCCCGGGAGTCCCGGAGCGCGGCTGGAGCGGGGGCGGCGCCGCTCTCCCCGGAGACTTCTCCTCCGCAAGCCCCGCACTCACGGCCCGGAGCCTGCCCGGCCGCCGCCCGCCTTCCTCGGGGGTGAGAGGCCGTCTCCGGAGGGCGTGCGTGCGTCCGTCCGTCCGTCAGAGCATCCCTCGCAGGCGGGCCCGTAACCAGAGTAACCGCCGCGCGCCCCGCTCGCCCGCTCGCCCGGCCCCACGAGCTCCAGCCACCCGGGCGGGCTCGGGCCAGCCGAGGGACCAGGGGGCGTGGCTCCGGGCCGGCCCCGCCCCCGCGAGCAGACCCCGCCTCCCACGCCGCTGCGGGCCAATGAGAGCGCGCACCGCGCGGTAGGCCGAGATGGCGCTATGGAGCGCTCGGCCAATGGCAGGCGGCTCGTTCCGCGCGGCGCCAGTGGCAGAGGCGCTAGGGCGATGTTGCGTGGTGCGGGGCGGGTGCGTGGGGTGGGCGCCCGCCCGGTGGGCGGATGGGGCGTGGCCTGCTCCGCTCGGCTCCCGCGGGGGCCTCGGGTCCCACCTGAGAGGGTGGAGCTGGCTCTGGAGGAACGCCCGCCGGCCGTGCACCGCCCGAGCGTACCCGAGCTCAAAGAGGCGGCGGGGCCGACTGTGGGAGCACGGGCTGAGTGAGCAGTGTGAGCATGGATTGTGTGAGCACGGGCCGTGTGAGAACGGGCTGTGGGAGCAGTGTGAGCACGGGCTGAGGGCAGTGGGAGCATGGACTGTGTGAGAACGGGCTGTGTGAGCATTGACTGTGTGCTGTGCGAGCACGGGCTGTGTGGGCATTGTGAGCACAGGCTAAAAGTGCGTGGAGGACGTGACACACCGGCGATCCTGGCGTAATTTCGAGGACGAAGGCTAAAGGAAAAGAAGCAAGTCGTGGGAAGCGGGGCACGCCTTTAATCCCAGAGGGAGAAGGATCTCTTGAGTTGGAGACTAGCTTGGTCTACACAGTGTGTTCCAGACCAGACCAGTCAAAGCCACATAGTGAGACCCTGTTTAAGGAAAAAAAAAAAAAGGAAAAGAAAACCGTTCCAATTAACAGCAACGCCGAAACTGTTTAATAAGATCCTTTTTATGTTTTAAGCACTGTGCCAGAAGCTTTGCAAACATTATTCAAAGCTTACAGCCACCTTCCAAGAGATAATGCCTTTGCTTTACAGGTGAAGAAAGTGAGCGGCTAACCCCAGCACTTGGGAGGCAGAAGCAGGCGGATCTCTGTGAGTTCGAGGCCAGCCTGGTCTACAAGAGCTAGTACCAGGACAGCCTCCAAAGCCACAGAGAAACCCTGACTCTAAAAAAGAAAAAAAGAAAAAAAGAAAGTGAGCGTCGTATCTGCCGCAGTTCTGATCATTTTATACCCCCCCCCACGTACTGCCTCAATGAGTTTCAGCCTCAACAGTACCATTCAATTGCCAAGCGTTCATTGAATCTTAGTTATCCATGCTTTTTTCAATACTGTAAGACCTTGTCCTGAGACTGGGACTTATTTATAATTGTGGCAACAGCTCATGACATGGTAGAGAGAGATGCGTGTGGGTGGTAGTGTAAAATGCAGTCATGTTTGCCCCCTTTAAAATTAGAAACCCTGAAATATTTCTCAGATATCCTTGTTAGGTTCTGCTATCTTCTTTTCGTTGTGCAACAATTCAAGAGGTACACTTGTCTAACCGGTATGCTGTATCATAACGAAAGAAGGAATAACCCACAGGTAACTAGCTACTCACCAGTCCTTTCCCTATCCACGTTTCTCTTTGAGATTTATTTATGCGTTCTGTCTACATGTATGTGTGCACATCAGAAGAGGGCATTGGACCCCATGGAACTAAGTAATAGACAGTTGTGAGCTGCCGTGTGGGTGCTGAGACTTGAACTCAGGACCTCTGGAAGAACAGTCAGTGGACTTAACTCCAGTCCTAGCCCCACATTCCTAATGCACATCTGCCCATGTCCTTCACGAAATGTATCTTGAATCCAACTGTAAGCTGAAACTCTGGACAGTTTAAATGAGTCTTACCCTTCCTAAATGTCTGTCACCTTTGGGCCATAGTAGGAGGTAGTAAGATGTGTCTAATACTATCAAACGCATTGTTACCACAGAACAGAGGGTGAAATCTGGGTCGTCAGATTTCATAAATCAAGCATACAAACAGGCAACTTGAAGCTGCCAGTCCGGGAGCTGAGGAATCGTGTCCAAAGGTAAAACAGAGTTAACTCAGGGAGTCTGTCCACATTTAAAATGGAATTTGAGCCAGGTGTGGTGACAAATGCCTTTAATCCCAGCACGTGGGAGATGGGGCAGGCGGATCTCTGAGTTCCAGGCCAGCCAGGGCTACAAAGAAAACACCCTTATCAAAACCACCAACTAAATAAAAATAAAGATGGAATTCGGGATCCTCCTAATTATTCTGATTTTGGCTGAGACAGCGTCCATAACAACCCGATTGATTGGACATAAATTAGGACATAATAGTCAAACAGCCAATCTCATGACTCAGGGCTTCAGAACTCCATCCCACATCCACAATATCATAACTCTTTTGGGAAAAGAAAGCAGCAGCCCAGGCTCACAGTAATAAAGGAAGTGCCGGTAAGCCTGTCGAGAATTACGTTGTAGAAAGAAGGCCCTTAAGTGACACCGCAGCCACTAATCACATGCCCAAGAGCAGCAACTGAGGAAATGGGTCATAGGCTTCACGAACCAATATTTAATTATCATGTATGCCTTGAGTCTGGGGTTTGGACACGACAGTTCTAGATGATGCTAAAATTTTAGTGAATGACAGGGTTAAAATGAGCCATGTGGTGGTGACACACCCCTTTAATCCCAGTGCTCAGGAGGCAGAGGCAGGCGGATCTCTGTGAGTTTGAGACCAGTCTGGTCTACAAGAGCTAGTTCCAGGACAGCCTCCAAAGCCAGAGAGACCTTGTCTCAAAAAAAATAATAATAATAAATACATAAATAAAATTACTCTTTCCCTGGGTGAACCCGCAAAGCAAGTAACGAGCTGTCTCTATTTGCTAAGACAAAATCCAGTAACTCAGTTGCGATCCTACCTGTCACGTGCCTTTTTGCTTAGTCATAGGTGTAGGCAGAGTTTTCTGTCCTGCCAGCCCCACCTACGCACAGGAATGGTCTTTGTATTTTCCTTGGAAGCTATTCCTAGCTCACCCTGATTTTTTTTAGATTTATTTATTTATTTATTTTGAGACAGGGTTTCTCTGTGTAGCCCTGGCCATCCTGGGCTGGCCTCCAGCTCAGAGATCCACCTGCCTCTGCCTCCAGAGTATAGAGATTAAGAGCCTACACTATCACTGCCCGGCTTTGAATTTTTTTTATGGTAATAACATCCACCTTTTCTTCACCCTTGATGGTGTCTCTCACTGATGATGTCATACCCTAAGGATGTGGGGCCTCCCATCTGTTAAACTGAGAAGTTGAATTTTTCCAGATCTTTTGCAAACACAGCAGAAACTTCAGAGGGCAACGAGCATAGGGCACCTTAATTCTAATGAGAGAAAAAAGAAACCTTGCAGGCCCTGGGACTCGAGAAGAATTTGAGGCTGAAAATGGAAGGATTGGGAATTTCATATATATGTATGTATGAGTGTGTGTGTATATGTATATGTATGTGTGTGTATATATATGTGTATGTATGTATGTGTCCTATTACAGATGGCTGTGAGCCACCATGTGGTTGCTGGGAACTGAACCCAGTACCCCAGGAAGAGCAGCCAGTGCTCTTAACCCCTGAGCCATCTCTCCAGCGGAAAATGGAAGGATCGGGACCATCTCCCCTGAACAGCTTCTTCGGGTCCGCTCATGAAGAAAAGAAAATCCCCACTTGAGGACGGTGGAAAGGCTTGGATGTGGGTCCTGTGGTGCTGACGGAGGTGAAGTGTTTCTCACAGTCAGCACAGGTTTCTCTCCTATGTGGAGGTCAAACTGGCGCCTCATCAGACTGAACCTCGGACTGAAGGACTCGCCACAGTCGGGACACTTACAAGGCTTCGCTCCCATGCGTGTCCTTTGGTGATCACTAGGGTAGAGCTCTGGAAGTCCTCCAGCACCTCGAACATCAGTGAGACGTCTCTCCGGTGTGTGTTCTCTGGTGTCTGATACGGTGGGAGCTATGGCCAACCGTCTTCCGACATTCACAGCACCTGTGTGGGTCACCTAGCTGACCGCTCTCTTCCGTCACGCTATAGCGCTGATGCACTCTCCCGTCATTCAGTATTTCCAGAGGGTTTCTTTCCCGTGTCCATTTTCTGGTGTGTCAGAAGATTTGATGCTGGACTAAAGATCTTTCCACACTCTGGACAGTGATAGGCTTTTCTCCTGTATGTATTCGCTGATGCTTTGTTGGAGTACTGTTACAACCAAAGCCTTCTCCACACCCACCACACGTGCAGGGCCGTTCACCTGCGTGTGTTCGAGGGCGGTGGATCACGCTGGAACCCAGACTGAGGCTCCTCCCACAGTCGGGCACCTACAGGTGCCCAGGTTGCAAAGTCCCCAGAGACCACCAGGAAGACAGACCCACTAAACTGCAAAAGCAAGGTTTTAATTGTTCATCCACCCATGACAGGGACCCCGTCTGGCTAGCTGTAGCAGCAGCCCTCAGAGGGAGTGAAGTTCCCTGTCCACTGCTAGGTTTTATAGACAAAAGTCACAGGATTACATCAGTAGGTACGGATTGGTTTCTGATTGGTTGACATTTGGGAACAATCAGGAGAATTTCTCAAAGTCACATTTTGGCATGAAATACCTGTGTACCAATTGTTTTCATTGGTCAGTGCTGAGAGGGAATATTCTGTGGTTTCTATGGCATTGTCTTGCAGGTGGCCTGTTGTACATAGACACCAATAGTGTTCAGAACTATATCCTGGAGACTAGAGAGGAGGTTTTAGTCCCCCCTGGAGTTTCTTTTGTGGCCAAACAGTTCCCGGGAACCAAGTACCTAGGAGGCTTGGGGGGCGATCTGGAGTTTCTTTGTGTTCAGTTTTGGCCCTAGACTCCAGGAGGCCAGAGGATCTGGAGTTTCCTTGTGTCAGAGGCCTACGTGTCTTTTCTGTAGCCTGTCATGACTAATAAAGCAGGCGGCTGAGTGAGGGTCTGGTTCCTTTATTTCTAAATTAGTAGAAGTGAAACCCTTGAGTTTAGTTCACCCCTGTCAGGGGTCTTCCTGTGCTGTTAGAAGCTAGGTGTGACTGAAGCCTTCTCCACAACCAGGGTCTCTCACCAGCATGTGATCTGTGGTGCTGAATTAGGTGAGAGCTGCCATTGAAACCCTTCCCACAGGCACTTGTAAGGTTCCTCTCCTGCACTGATGGTTGTGTTTTACATTTTGTTCTTTACAGGGGCCGCCACCAGCTCCCAAGTAAGTCACACATGGAGGCTGTCTTTAGGTAGGAATGCCTGGCCTTAGCTTGCCTTGTTTCTTGCCAGCTTCTCTAAACTTAAATTATGCCGACTACCTTTTGCCTCTGGACTTCTTTCTTCTTCTTGCTTCTGTATATCTTACTTTCACTCTTACTCCGAGGCTGGGCGGCTGGGCGGCTGGGCGGCTGGGCGGCTGGGCGGCTGGGCGGCTGGGCGGCTGGGCGGCTGGACGCCTGGGCGGCTGGGCGGCTGGGCCCTGAAGTCCTGTAATACTTTGCTCCTTCCTCTTTTCGACCAGACTTCTCCTATTTATTCTCTCTGCCCGCCAGCCCCACCTATCCTTGCTCCTGCCTTGCTATTGGCCATTCAGCTCTTTATTAGACCAATCAGGTGTTTTAGGCAGGCACAGTAACACAGCTTCACAGAGTTAAACAAATGCAACATAAAGGAACGCAACACATCTTTGCATTGTTAAACAAATGTTCCGCAGCATAAACAAATGCTACACATCTTAAAAGAAAATTCTACAACACTCTGGCGTAAGCTCTCTGGTGGAGAATAGGATGGGAAGTATTGCTGAAGTTTCCCCCACACTTGCTACACAAGAAGGGCTTCTTGCCTGGATGAGTTCACAAATGCTGCACCCAGTGGGAACCATCACAAAAGTGCTCCCCACACTCAGAACATGTGTATGGTTTTCTCCCAAGTGTGACCTCTGGTGTGTGTACACAGATGAGAATTATTGCTAAAGTTTGTTAGGTCTTAGAACATTTGTAGGACTTCTCTCCAAAGGGTCAGTTCACTGGACAAAGGTGTGGGCATGTTCTCTGAACCCCATCCTCCATGGTAGAGTTTGTCCCCTCCTTTCCCTGTGGAATCTTCTCATTTCTCTGACTTGACATCATTTCCATAGGAACCATAACACCAAATCTCGTCTCCATGAGACCATGTCAGCATCCCTTCTGTGTTTTTCCTGCCTAGAATCCTGTGGCCCACATCTTTTAGAGCACTTTAGAGCTTTCTCTTAAGTCTATCTGCCATGGGTGTATTGATTTGAACAGTCCCTAAATTATCCTGACATCTCCTGAAAGATTTTTCTTTTCCGTTTTTCAAAATAGGGATTCTCTGTGGCTTTGGGCTGGCCTGAGACTCACAGAGATCTGCCTGCCTCTAACTCCCAAGTGCTAGGATTAAAGACTTGTGCCGGTACTAAAGGCATGTGCCACCACCGCCCCAGCCACAGGAATTTTTAAAAAATAAATAATACAAGCATAATTCCTTATCTTGCCTGATGAAATTCTGAATTGATTAAAGAGAGAATAAGAGAATAACAACGAAAAACCTCATAAAACTCTTTTAAGTTTATGTGTGCTTGGAAAGTCTTAACTTGGTTGTCTACTTTTTTTTCTTTGTTGACACAAAGTTTCTCTGTGTAGTCCTGACTGTCCTCGAACTCCCTTTGTAGACCATGCAGGCCTCAAACTCACAGAGATCAATCATTCTGCCTCTGCCTCCCAAGTCTGGGACTAAAGGTGTGCCGCCACCACCACTACCCAGTGTTATTTTGGGTTTCTATTGCCCTGATAAAACACCATCAGTAAAAGCAACTTGGGAAGGAAAGTTTGGTCTGTTACTGAAGGAAGTCAGGAAGGAACCAGGAGGCAGGAACTGAGACAGAAGCCATGGCGGAGTGCTGTTTACTGGCTTGCTCAACATAGCTTGCTTAACCTGCTTTTCATGCCATCCAGGACCATCTGCCAAGGGGCGGCTCTGACCACAATAGCCTGGGCCCTCCCACATAAATCAGACCTATCCGGTAGGGGCATTTTCTCATGTGATGTTGCCTCTTCTCAAACAATTCCAGCTTCTGTCAAGTTAACTGATATAAACCAGCCAGGATGCGGGCGTGTGCAGATGTGCAGAGAGCAAGAGGCCTGTGACCCCTTGGAGCTAGACTTCCAGGCAGTTTGTAAGCTGCTGATGTTGGTCCTGGGAACTCAGCTTGGGTCATCTACAAGAACAGTGTGCTCTTCTTGACCACTGAGCCATCTCTGTAGCCCCTACAGAAATGCTTTTAAAAGCTAACCTTCCTTTTATTCTGTGTGTTCCCTAGCACGGGGAGAATTTGTTGTTCTTATGCACCACATAAACTCAGTTTTTGAGCTAGTATATGAAAATAGGAAGGGCACTGTCAACCTAAAAATAAATGTACTAAGCTTTATGTGAGGTTTAAAAGGGAACCTAAGTAGAAAGTTGTATGAAGCAAGAACAAGAAAATGGATCAGTTAAAACTTGAGCAAATGGCTGGGCGTTGGTGGCACACGCCTTTAATTCCAGCACTTGGGAGGCAGAGGCAGGAGGATCTCTGTGAGTTCAAGACCAACCTGGTCTACAGAGTGAGTTCTAGGACAGCCAGGACTGTTACACAGAGAAACCCTGTCTTGAAAAACCATTAAAAAGAAAAAAGAATGGGCACTATCAAGAACAGTGGCTTTGTATGTATGTAACTAACCCTAAATATGTACAAGGTAGGTGTGTTATCATTTTTAAAGGTGAGGAAACTGAGGCTGAGTCCCCGACTTGTAAGTGACACAGCACACACTCAAGTAAGGTTTGCTGCGCTGAACATCTTTTCCAAACTGTATCTAGCACATTTTGTAAGGAGTTTCCTAAGGCTCCATTCAGATCATCTTGGCCCTTCACCTGTAAACATACTTTTTAAACTCTCCCACTCGGTGAAACTCAAATCCCAAAGCAACAGCTCTGTTCCTCCTTCCAATACAGTGACCACACCAGGCTAAGGACTGACAGCCCTGTGGGTAAACAAAAGCAGTGGTCATCATTAGAAATGTCGGTGAGGAGGCCTAGGTAATCTATTGAGCCTTGGGTAGTAGATCAGTATTTATCCCGGGTATACAAATGGACTTTGGACTCCCATCCAACAATGAGAGATGCACTCTCACCCTGAACTCTTGGGGGAGGGTCTAGGCCCTGCCCTGGATGAAATGACAGACTATGGACACCCCCATAGAGGGCCTCACCCTCCCTGGAGAAATGAGGGGATATTGGGTTGGGGGGTTGGGGAGAGGGCACGGGAGGAGGGGAGGGAAAGGGAGAGGGACCTGGAACTGACTTGTGAACCAACCATGTTTCTAATCTAAATTTAAACTTAAAAATAAAAAAAAGAAATATCTGTTACGTTTATTCTCTACCTCCCTCCCCAACCATCACAACAAAATGAGGAAAACTCAGAACCATGCCCTTAGAAGTCCTCTCAGGGAGTCTTTATTCATTGTATGTATGAGTGCACTATCTGCATGTACACCATTATTCCAGAAGAGGGCATCGGATTCCACTATAAATGTCTGTGAGTCTCCCTGAGGTTGCTGGGAATTGAACTCAGGTCCTCTGGAAGAGCAGCCAGTGCTCTTAATCACTGAGCCATCTCTACAGCCCAGGAAGTCTTATCCTAGATACAAGTGTTCAAAATTAAGAGTTAGTCTCTTGTCCCATTACAACTAAAACAATTTTTAGAGATTATCTTTATGTGTGGGGGTGTTTTGTCTACCTGTGTGTTTGTGCAGTGCCATGGAGGTCAAAAGAGGGTATTAGATCCCCTGAAATGGAGTTACCAGTGTTGTAAGTCATCTCGTGGGTGCTGGGAACTGGGCCCAGGCCCTCTGGAAGAGCAACCAGTGCTCTTAACTATGAATCCATCTCTCTAGTCCCACAACAACAACAAAAATATTAAGTATTTATAATGTTAACTTAATTGCTGTTTAGTTTAACTATCTTTGCATTGAAGCCTGATGATCAAGTTTCCAAGAAAGAATGAATACTAGTGATATCCACTTGTGGCTGAGAAACCCTCCTAATTGAAGGGGATAATGTACTTTTTTGGAAAGAGCATGAATAATAAAACACAAAGACATCAAGGAATCCATAAGCAGGTAAGAAGCAATGAAGAAAAAGGAACTCGTTTATGGTCAGAAGATAACATTGGTTGTTGGCAAAAACAAAACAAAACAAAAACACAAAAAAAACACCCTTTAGAGTCAATTTCAAAAAGAACACTTACATAACCCATAACAAGAGAATAGTCAAAAGCAGGGCTAGAGTAATTACATCCAATAATTCCTGAATACAAAAGACTCCAAAGAGGGCATTCCTCCCTCCATCTTATTGCTCCTAGGTTGTACAATAGACATGCCAGCCTAAACTATCTGCTGGAGCTACCTACGACTCCTAATCTACTTAAAGGATTAGGCCATGTGACCTGTCAGTGTCACGTGGACACAGCATCTGTTTCAGTTTACAAGGAACAGCAGGGACATCTGGGAGGAAACAGAAGCCTAGACAAAGGCATTCTTATACAATGTTAATTCTTGCTGATCTGCTGCTTGCACAAACCAGGGAATAAAATAAATCACTGCTCCTAATTCTCTTATCAGCCTGGGGTGTATGAACCAGTTTCGTTGTTTATCTATGCCATCTTACGAATGTTTTTACAGGTGTGTCCAAAGTGTTCAGGGATTTCCTAAGGTCACACAACCAGAAAGTGGTAGAGCAGGCCTGAGACACGCTGATTGGACACCGTTTTTCACACCATCTATCCCAGCAAACTGAAGCAGGGGCAGAGCAGAGCTTCGATTCCCGAGCACCGATGGTCCCAAGACTTCCTTCATCAACTCCTTTCTTTTCAACCGATTTCCAAACCTTAAGACCCAGTGAGCCAAGCAGATCACACATCGAGGAAGACCTGGTTTGTTATAGAGGTGAAAGGGGTTGGAATTACATCTGCAGAGTTTGGCGAGAACAAAAGAGACACCAGAATGCAAATGACACAAAGAGGGCTGGAGAGATGCCTCAGCAGTTTAGAGCCCTGGCTGCTCTTGTAGGGGGCACCAGCCATGCACGCACTTGCTGCACATATATAAAACATTTTTAAAAACCCAAAACACAGAAAATGGACAGTTGCTAAAAATGCTATTCTCAGTTATGCATTTCCATCCAAGTATTTACAAGCAATGAGTCCGTATAACAGATTCATATCTTTCCTTAAGATATTATTAAATTTGTTGCACGGGGCATGGCAGCGCATGCCTGTAATCCCAGCACTTGGGAGGCAGAGGCAGGTGGATCTCCGTGTGTTCCAGGCCAGCCTGGTCTACAGAGCGAGTTCCAGCACAGCCAAGGTTACACAGAGAAACCCTGTCTCGAACTCCTCCCCCGCCCCCAAGATACTATTAAATTCGTTACTAGAGGAGCCCCAGGAACACTGGCTCGGCAAAACAGGCACACCCAGGCCACGCATGGCAGTTAGTGGGGATCCTTAAGGTGTACGTGCGCAGAGAGGGCGGCTTGGAAGGTTACAGGGTGAAGACGGTGGGCAGTGCTAGTCTGAGAGCCTTCAGGCATCTGGGCGGCAGCGCATTTCTGCCAGGCTGCGGGAAGCAGGTGGTTTCCGCGGGGAACCGGTCCGGCCAGTCCCCGGGGGTGCAGCTCCTGAGCCCAGCAACTGCAGAGCGTGTGCCCGAGCGCCCTGGAAGGAGCTCACTGTTGAGGTCGCTGCGCAATGCTTCCCTGCACCCCAAGTCACCCCAGCTGTCCCGGGGAAAGAAGCCCGCCCCTTTAGGCCCCCACCAACCTAAGATCCTAGACCCCCAGACCCGGAAGACATGACAGGAAGTTTCCTCCAACACCTACTCAGGGCCATCTTTGTCCCGACCTCTCTAGGAAAATGGACGAATCGCCGAGTGTCTTTCATCTTAACCCTTAGAGGCCCTGGAGAATTTCTTCCTGGGATGTTTGACAATTCTTGATCCATATTCCTCTCTCGCGTTTCAGGCGCCTCGGGTTATGTCTATGTTTTCTTCGCCATCAAGGCACTGCCAGATTTGCCATCACAACCGCCACCATCAATGGTAGAGTCACAAACCCAGTATGTAAGCTTCTCTTGTCCTGTTCCCATCTCTGCGCGCATAGGTATTTGCTTTCCCGTCTGAAGCAGTCTGCAAGCTAGGAGAGGCCTCACGGGAAGTCAACACTGAGGACAGCTTGGCCTTGGACATCTGACCTGCAGGGCCACTAGAGCGCGAAATTCTGTCATCTAGCCCAAACAGCCCGAAGAATTTTGTTACAGCAGAGGGAACAGACTTACACAATTGAGAAAACGAAACGTTTAATTCCCAGACTCTTTGAAACTGCAGCAGCAAAAGCAACCGCTCCGAGAGACCTTCCTGGAAGCTTGGCCTGGATCTATTTCTTGGCCCCTCCCAAAGATTCCAAAGCCCGTTAATGCCCCCCACCCCCGGGCGCGCGCCCCAAACCCCACAAAACCGTACAAACAAACAAAAACAACGTTTAGTCCTAGGACAGTTCCGATCATCTCCAGTCCCAGCTGAACCTGACAAGGGCGAAAGCTAATCAGTAAGTACACTGTGGAGCAGGACTTAGGGCTGGGTATGAGAACCAAGTTTGTGGTTAAAAAACTACCTGGAGTGACACAGACCTTTGGCCACCGGGCAGACAAGACTCTTATCTGGAGGATGGCTTCGTGCTATGTAAAACGAAGGCCAGGGCTAGCAACTAGAGCTGCTGCCTTAGATTCAATAGTGTGGCCATGAGAAACCTGTGACTGGAAAATTCTAAAAAGGATTCTTTATTGCAGGGGTTTAATAATGCTACTGCCTGTGGGAAATTAGAAATGAATTGGACTATCTCGATCAGGGCAATTAACTTTGCTGTGCAAAGGGCCAGATAGTATATACTGTATTTAATGCTGCCGGCCATGCATTCCCGTCACGACTGTTCAGCTCTACTGTAGCGTCAAGAGAACAACCATATACAAAACAAGCAACTAGGCACAAACGTGTCCTAGCAAAAGTGGATTTATTAAACCAGGCGGCCTGTCCACCTTTGTTCTAGCTAAGGAGATTCCAAGGCAGACTTTTAAAAGTGTCCCTAGACATCTCACCACCAATGACAAAAGACAAGGGGCCCGGGAAAGCTAAGAGACTAACCCTCAAGTATGTACAAATCAGAACATGCTGCATTCAAAAGCATTGCTTCCCATAATCCATCCCCTCCATGGCAAACAATGTTAAAATGAAGTCATGCTTTCAAAAAAAAAAAAAAAAGATCAAACTCCAGCTACTGCTAGGAAAAGATGGTTGGAACAAGTCTCAGCAAATGAATGAACTTACTCTGTAGACCAACTGTCCTGGAATGCAGACATCCACCTGCCTCTGCCTCCCAAGTTCTGGAACTAAAGATGTGACCACCATCACCCAGCTTGAGAGTCCAATTTGTTGTTTTGTTTGGTTTTGGTTTGGCTTTTTTTTTTTTTTTGAGACAGGATTTCTCTATGAAGTCTTGGTTGTCCTGGAACTCACTCTGTAGACCAGGCTGGCCTGGAACTCAGAGATCTACTTGCTTCTGCCTCCCGAGAGCTGGGATTAAAGGCGCACACCATTACCACCTGACTGAGAGCCCAGTTTTAATGCTCAATTAAAAACCTCCCTGGATGGAGTCTTGAAGTGTCTGACTATTCTCTGCCCCACCTTGCAAGGTGAACCATCATTTTCTTGAACTCTAGTTCAATAAAAATTATTGTAGTCTTTCTTCTAGTCTCCATTTGCATCTCTGTCAGGGTAGGTGTCCTAGGAGAGGTGTCCCTGTCCTTACTTACTCAGGCCACTCCACCCAAAGACCAACTTTATTTTCAAATTCTTCAGCCACCTTTTGTCTGTTCATGTAGAGAACAAACACCCAGTCCTCCTCATCTCAATGCAAATATTTTATTCCCAACTATTCTTGACTCTGTTTTATGAAGATTTGTGTGTGTGTGTGTGTGTGTGTGTGTGTGTGTGTGTGTGTGTGGTGCCTGCAGAGGCCAGAAGAGGGCATCAGATCACCTGGAACTAGAATTATAGGCAGTTAGTTGTGAGCCTCTCTGTCTTGGGTCCTCTGAAAGAGCATTGTGTGCTCTTAACCTCTGGGTGATCTCTCTTGGCTCTTTCAGGAAGATTTCAACCCTGTCTTTTGTCTCCAAAGCCTGAATTGTGTTTATCAGTTTGCACACTTTTGGGAGGTGGTCATATTGGCTTTATTGACTGATAGGCAAGTTGGCAGACATCATTCAAGAGTTAATTTTCCATTCAGGAATAAATCCCCTGGCGGGACAGAAAGCAAGTAGGAAATGAACAGTAGAGTTATTTGCACCTAAATGCTTTGTTAAACACTCTTATTTCATCTTTGAGAACTTCATACTATGCATTTTGGTTGTATTTACCCACCTTGCCCCAGACGCCCTTTTACCCCCCTCCCGACCCGACTCCATGCTCTCTCTCTGAACACAAAGCTAATTGTGTCATTCAAAGGCTCCTGAGCCTGAGGCTTGCTCGAGAGCGTGGGCCTACCTACCAGGGCTCACACACTCAACCAGGAACTCCTGTCACCGCAGCTATCACCCCCAATGTCTCCTCAGGTAGGGCTGGCCTTTGTGCCCGGCTCTCCCAAACCCTTGCTGATATTAGTCTGACTTGAGCTTTTCTGGGGTCTTGTGTACACTGTCACACCTGTGTGTACGCTGTCACACCTGTGCACTCTGTCACACCTGTGTGTATGCTGTCACACCTGTGTGTATGCTGTCACACCTGTGTGTATGCTGTCACACCTGTGCATGCTGTCACACCTGTGCATGCTGTCACACCTGTGTATGCTGTCACACCTGTGTGTACGCTGTCACACCTGTGTACGCTGTCACACCTGTGTACACTGTCACACCTGTGTGTATGCTGCCACACCTGTGTGTATGCTGTCACACCTGTGCACACTGTCACACCTGTGCATGCTGTCACACCTGTGTGTATGCTGTCACACCTGTGTACTCTGTCACACCTGTGTGTATGCTGTCACACCTGTGCATGCTGTCACACCTGTGTATGCTGTCACACCTGTGCATGCTGTCACACCTGTGCATGCTGTCACACCTGTGCATGCTGTCACACCTGTGTATGCTGTCACACCTGTGCATGCTGTCACACCTGTGCATGCTGTCACACCTGTGCATGCTGTCACACCTGTGTATGCTGTCACACCTGTGTATACTGTCACACCTGTGTGTACGCTGTCACACCTGTGTATGCTGTCACACCTGTGTACACTGTCACACCTGTGTGTATGCTGCCACACCTGTGTATGCTGCCACACCTGTGCATGCTGTCACACCTGTGCATGCTGTCACACCTGTGTATGCTGTCACACTTGTGTGTATGCTGTCACACCTGTGTGTATGCTGTCACACCTGTGTACGCTGTCACACCTGTGTGTATGCTGTCACACCTGTGTCTACGCTGTCACACCTGTGCACGCTGTCACACCTGTGTCTATGCTCTCACACCTGTGTCTACGCTGTCACACCTGTGTGTATGCTGTCACACCTCTGTGTATGCTGTCACACCTGTGTGTATGCTGTCACACCTGTGTGTATGCTGTCACACCTGTGTACGCTGTCACACCTGTGCACGCTGTCACACCTGTGCATGCTGTCACACCTGTATAGGCTGTCACACTTGTGCACGCCCTCACACCTGTGTGTATGCTGTCACACCTGTGCACTCTGTCACACCTGTGTGTGCTGTCACACCTGTGTGTACGCTGTCACACCTGTGTAGGCTGTCACACTTGTGCACGCCCTCACACCTGTGTGTATGCTGTCACACCTGTGCACTCTGTCACACCTGTGTGTGCTGTCACACCTGTGTGTATGCTGTCACACTTGTGCACGCCCTCACACCTGTGTACACTGTCACACTGTATCTGCTGTCACACCTGTGCATGCTGTCACACCTGTGTACGCTGTCACACCTGTGTATGCTGTCACACCTGTGTACGCTGTCACACCTCCTCTGAGTTCTTTTTTTACATTTATTTTTATTACATGTGTATGACTGCATGCAGTGTTTGCACAGGTCGAGAGGGGGTATTGGATCCCATGGGACTAGAGTTACATAGTTTTTAGCCACAGTGTAGGTTCTGGGAACAGAACCCAAGTCCTCTGCAAGAGCAACCTGTGCTCTTAATCACTCAGCTATCTCTCCACCCCCTGTTTCTTTTTTTTACTTTTTATTTATTTGGTGCATGCATGTGTATGTGAGGGGTGTGTGTGTGTGTGTGTGTGTGTGTGTGTGTGTGTGTGTGTGTGTGTGAAAATGAGCATGTGTGCACATAAGCCATGACATGCATACGGAGGCCAGAGGAGTCTGTGGAGTTGGCTCTTTCCTTCCACCTTTAAGTCCTTCAGACAAGTTCAGGTCTTCTGACTTGGTGAGACAGAGCCTTTACCATGGAGCCATCGCTTCAGTTCTGTACCGTTTGTACTTTTTGTGCCTGTAGGTTCTGAACATATTTTTAAACTTGTTTAAAAGAGATTAATGAGAGAGGAAGAGGGCAGAGAGGAGGTATTGGGAGAGCTGAATATGATCAAAGGACATTATACATGTATGAGAGTGTCACAATGAAATTTCATATTATGTATAATTAACAAGCGCCAAAAATAGCTTTCTAAAATTTGTTGAGAAGCTGGCTGAGCCTACATGATAGAGGTATAAAATAGAATCAAAGTTACCAGCTCTGCCACATAAAGTCAGGTTCGAAAGAGGGCCTGGCTTCCAGTATTTCCTTCACTACACCACATGCTACACTGCCTACCATGACGTGTACACGGAAGGAAACCTGGCCTCAAATGAGTTTGCAGACTTTACAGCCCAAGGAGCAAAGCACACCCGGCA